ATAGTCACGACTGCGCCGCTTGTGCACATAGGAATTCTCAATATGAGCACAATGCCCGAAGGTCTGTCATGGAATTTCTTCATTTTTTTTGTTTTGTTTTTGAAGTGATATTCTCTGCTATCATGCTCCAATTTCAGGCTACTACGCCTACGGTGCCTCAGCTGGTCGAGAATGGTATTTTAATCCTGCTATGCAGTTTAAGGATGACAGTATCAGCGACGCCGACCTTATGCTACTGAGCAAGGTTTTCGATAAGGTATGTGAAGATTTCGTACGGCTATTTATTTTCTTACTTAGATCTGAAATGATTCTCGCAGGGATGTTTTGAAGCTATTTCTGCTCTTCCTTTTAGATCGAAGATTTGCTGGAAAATCCTGATTACCGCAATTTCACATGGATTGGTAGTGGTCTGCAGAAGCATTATGGTCACATAACGATTGCAAAGCAGGATGTAAACAACTCAGTTCCACACAGGAAGAGCTTGATGCTGTAAGTTATCAGGTTATGTACATTTCAAATAGTATCAGGAAATGCTGCAGATTCAAAAAAGTGAGCAAGATTGTGAATGATGTTGACCCGTCTGGATCCACTCTGACACTGAGGGAGAGCGACTATGACATCAAAATCTACACTAAGGTTTGCTTTTTTTCTGACCATAGCAATGTTCACTTCTTCCATCCTCAACGCCTTAGGCTAAATTATCTGGCAGAATTTTCAACAAAGGACACGGCGTACGTCTCATCGAACGAAAGATGGGTATGCAGTTGCAGGACGGTAAGTGTTAAGGCTTTATAGTGGGTTGGATACATAAACGTTTTAATTTGAAGTACAGCTGTCACTAACACTTTAAAGGTAACGTGCTCGTCTGTGGTGACTCTGAAACTGACCTGCCCATGCTAGAAGAGTGTTTGTCGGTTGCTCCACCGAATGTGTACACGATATGGGTTACGAAGGATGAGGCGCTTCAGGGAAAGGTAAATAAATCAGAATATTCAAGCAATGCACAAAGATATGCTGGTTTATGTAAAGTCGATTAGCGGGTTTCATGTTCATCGGAGCATGATATTTTTTAAATTATATTACAGGTCACTCAAACATGTGCGCGATTTCACAACAGTAATGTGGCGTTCGTTTCCTGTCCGGAAGTCCTACTCGGGGCGATGGCTCAAGCTACCGTGCGCGAGCTTAAAGTTCGTGGTGGTGCAGATCTGGATGACGACAGCGACATCTGAACCCTCGTCGTCCCCAGCGACTCGCTTACTCATCTCACCATCCCCAGTGGAACCTCTTTGAGCGTAGCACTTAAATATCTGAATATAGATTTATCCCTTATGAATTTGCAATTTCAACAATTTACTCAGTTTGTTGTGTTGCCTGATGCCATTACTGCCTCACAGTTCCATGTAAAGAAGCAGAACTATCGCATTTTTAGTTTTTACTTCTCTCATAATTGGGTTTCGAGTTGCGTTTTGTCGGCCTCCAGATTTTCTAAAGGGTGGCATCCTGTTAATACTTTCATAAACAATATGGTTTAGATGGTGAGCTTCGTTATTTGTCATGTTATAAGCTATTCTATTAGTATTTGTTTTATTAGTATTTTTTTACTGATGACAGCTAGATGTTTATATGTATGTGAGCAGCATAGTTTTAGCTCTAGTGTGATATCTTTAAAGAGTTAGATTGCCCCGCAGATGTATTCTCCATGACAATGACTACAGTGTAGTTGCAGTCTAGTTTACTTACGATTCCTAAACAGCTCAATGTTTTTGACTGAGTTACGGTTTATCTTGCCAGCATATGTATCCTAATAAGTGACGGTGACATTGACAGTTTAGTGAACACCGGTACTAGAGGCTAAATGTCTTTATAATTAAGAGAGAATCTACTAAAGTAACTACTAACTCCTATCTCGTACCGGTTATTGGTTATCACTATATTAGTGTAGCCGTGTATATTCAAAACATTATGTCAATAAACGGTTGAATTTGCAAAGCAAACGCTGTTCGTTAAAAGCCATCTTGGGTGGCAAAATTCTTTGTTTCCAACATTTCTGAGTATTCTTATTGGATTGATAAAAATTAGTTAAGTATCTGAACTATAATTACCGCAGAAAAATGTTATAACGTGCGGTAAAGAAATAATCTTTGCTAGTATTACCAATGTGGCCTGTTATATAAGTTCGTGCCGCTTTTTCTCTTCAAACTGAAAAAGGTTCCAAAAAAACGCAACTTTTGGCA